TTTTATTCCAGCATTTATAAAAGAACGCCTGTTTCTGCGTGCAAGAAATCGTTCATTAAATCGGCCATTTTACCGGCAGAAATCATAACGTTAGTAGATTTTATGTCACGAATGATTTGCGTCATCACACATTCCAGCCATTCGTAGAGAGAGAAATGGAGGGGGGGCGTGGAGGTTTAGAGCCCTAACGGAACCCGCCGAACACGTTTACTCGCTCGATGCTTCAAATTACCCGATTTCGCTTCACGGGCAAGATGTTTCGCAAAATTAGTTTGATTCTCTTATAAAGTGTAATGCTGTTACACAAAAAATAAAGTATGCAATCGTTTGATAATGTTGATTTATTATATTCCCACACACATGAAACATTTTTACATTATGTTTCTAAAAGTCGCTTCGTTTTTCAAAACATGTATCGTGCAATAAAGCCGAACATTATAAACAATTGCATTAAACTACTATTCTTGTAGCATTATATGCATCGATTATTGCAAACAAATAAGTACACAAAATAGGCTACATAGGCTACAGATTTAGTAATTAAAACATTAATTGAATCTTTTATCTCAGAAACCCGCGAAACGCCCAAAATCTAAAACAAACACATTAGCGGTGGATATTGGCTCCAAGAGGATAGGCACATCATTTGGAACCAATTATATGAAATTATTCATTATCAACGCATTAATAAATATAAAATGTTTTTAATCCACAAAAAATGGGGAGACTTTGTTCTTCAGTTTCTCCCGAAATTGAGGAATTTGTGGACTGACGGTTTCTGAAATAAACGATTCACTAGGGTATTACTCAATTGAGTGTGGTTACATGCCAGTGTTCACTCTCAAGGAAGATTCAAGAAATGGTCGAAATGTTAGGCGCAATTCAGAATTATTGACCTTTCTTTCATTATTAAGTATGTTACGTAGGTCTACAAGACAACGTGAAATAACTTTATATAAGTAATTATGAAGATAAATTCAGAAAATTAACTTTCTCAGTGCACGGACTATGTGATAGCTTTCTTTGAGGGAAGCCCTTGTTTCACGGAAAATGAAGATGTAGCTTTTCTAATTTAAATCAATCACTTGCTCTACAGCTATGACGAAAAAAAAGGTCAGGCAATGCAAAGTATGCAAAGATACGGTTGGTGGGGTTATAACTTGCTCGCCGATTGTCTCCCTTACCCTCAGTTGTGGTTCAATAAAAAAAATAGGAACATTGATTGGGAACAGCGCTAGCTAGCAAAAGTCGAGATTTAACCCGACTCTATAATGTCAAATACATGCATACATGCATACAATATAAAAAACCGAACTGTGTTACTATTAAGTTCATATAAGTCACTTTCTAAAACGATTTGCCAAATCTCACAAATTCATGCTTTCACCTTCTTCCCCCTCCCCATAAAAAAACTACGTCTGGTCATCCGTCACCCTTCCCCGCCCAGCTCCGCTGCCCAACGCGTTTCTTTCCACGTTACGGCTTGTGGCAGGGACGGCGGGACCGCAGGCGCTGAGCGGCGTTCGATTGATCATTAACGGCGCTCGCAATTACACCTGGGGTGCCCCGCCGACCGCCCGCGCCACCGCCCAATCTCCGCGAGCCACGCCCCGTCCGGGGCCGCCGCCGCCCCTCCACCGCTCGTACTCACTGTCTAGGACGCCGCCCGCGCCGAAACGTCTTTCCGCTCGGCCTTTCGCTACACTGCGCTTTTCACGCAACTTCCACGAGGTGCTATTTAGTTTCGAAATGAAACAGTAACAACACCTTCGCCCACAAGGACATTTTTCATTTTCTTCCCGAATTGAATTGGATTAAATTGGATAGAATTGGAATTTGGATTGAGATTGAATCGGATCGAATCGAATCCGAATCCGAATCGAGATCGGATTCGGGTCGAATAGAATCGAATCGCGCGATCGAATCGGATCGGATCGAATTCGGATCGAATCAATCGGATCGAATCGGAATCGAATCGGATGGATCGAATCGGATTCGGATCGGATCGGAGATCGGATCGGGATCGGATCGAATGCGGATCGGATCGAATCGAAAATCGAATTCGTTTCGAATCGAATTCGAAATCGAATCGGAGTCGAATCGGATTCGAATCGGATCGAATCGGAATCGATATCGGATCGAATCGGATCGAAATCGGGATCGAATCGGATCGAATCCGGATCGAATCGGATCGAATCTGATCGAATCCTTCTTTTACAGGAATTCGATCGGAATTCGAATCGGATCGGAATCGGATCGAATCGGAATTCCGAAATCGATCGAATCGGATTTCGAATCCGATCGAATCGGAATGATCCGAATTCGGATCGAATCGGATCGAATCGGCATCGAAAACTGTCGGATCGAATCGCGATCGATCGGATCGAATCGGATTCGAATCGGATCGAATCGGATCCGAAATCGATCGAATCGGTCGAATCGGAATCGAATCGGATCGAATCGGATCTAATCGGATCGAATCGGATCGAATCCGGATTCGAATCGGATCGGATCGATCGGATCGGATCGAATCGAATCGATCGAATTCCGAATCGAATCGAATCGGATCGGATCGGATTCGGATCGGTCGATCGGTATCGGATCGGATAGATCCGAATCGAAATCGAATCGAATCGAATTAAAAATCCGAATCGAATCGAATAAAATCGAATCGAATCGAATCGAATCGAATCGAACGCGATCGGATCGGTAATCGAATCGAATCGATCGGAATCGAATCGAATTCGGATCGGATCGATCAATCGAATCGAATTCGAAATCGAATCGAAAATCGAATCGAAATCGAATCGAATGCCGAATCGAATCGAATCGAATCGAAATCCGAACTCGGAATCGAATCGAATCGAATCGAAATCCGGATCGAATCGAATCGAATCGAATCGAATCGAATCGAATCGAATCGAAATCGAATTCGAATCGAATCCCGAATCGAATCGAATCGAATCGAATCGATCGAATCGAATCGAAAATCGAATCGGATCGGATCGGATCGGATTTCGGATAGGAGTAGGATACGGATCGATCGGATCGGATCGGTTCGAGATCGGAACGGATCGCGATCGGATCCCGGTTCGGATCGGATCGGATCGGATCGGATTCGGCATCGGATCGGATCGGGATCGGATCGGATCGGATCGGATCGGATCGGATCGGATCGGATCGGGATTCGGATCGGATCGGATCGGATCGGATCGGATCGGATCGATCGGATCGGATCGGATC